AGGGGTGGAGACGACGGCAGCAGCGGCTACGGGATGCAAGGGAGCCGACGTGGCAAAGGACGTGGCTTCGGTGGTGCTGGACGCGGTGCAAAGAAAGACGACGACTCCAACGACCAACAAGGAGGTACCGGTTGGGGTCGCGGTGCAAAATCTGGACGTGGGGGCAAGTCGGGTGCTGGTGGCAAAATGAAAGGGAGTTGCTGGTATTGTGAGAAGGAAGGGCACCCCTGGTTTTTGTGCTATAAGAAACCCGATGGATGGACCCCCCAGAATCGTCACCAGGATGGCGGCGCGCGGAGGAACCAGAAAAACGGCGCCAACATGGTCGCTGATTCGTCCGACAACAACCCGAAGGGCAACGGCGGTGCGGAGAAGAAGAAGGAGCGCACCGCGGGCCAATTCTTCCATATGGGAGACAAGGGGGAGCAAGGAGACGCATCTGGTAAGGCTGGAGCAGAGCTGCACCCCCTGGACTATTGGGTGTTGGACACAGGCGCTGCTTGGACAATGACGCCGCGCAAGGACCTGCTGGACGACGTACGCGCTGCACCGATTAATGAGGTGTGCTCTGCCTCTGGACACATGTTGAAGGTGGCTGGTGCGGGACGAGCTGCATTTAAGGGAGCGGATGGCAAGCCGGTGGTGCTGCACGACGTTCTCCTCGTCCCCGACCTGAAGGCCAACCTCATCTCCCTCCGTAAGCTTGGCAAGGCTGGGGTGAACACCAACACGGATGGGGCTCGCACTTATAAGGGGAAGCTGGGCAATCGGGTGCTTTGGGATCTGCACGAGAGCAAGGACGTGTACAGATCTATGTGGCAGCTGCCGGCGCTGGCGTGGCATGGTGGGGGGCAGGCTGGAGAGGGGTCTGCATCCCAGGGGGAGTGCAACGCCGTTGGAGGGGTTGGTGTGAAAGTGTCGGCCAGATCTGGGGAGACAGATTGGGCAACTGCACACCGACGATTGGGGCATGTGGCAATGCCTTTGCTGAAGCAGCTGGAGAAGGATGGAGCCGTTAAGGGCTTAAAGCTGAACGGACAACCACCCGATGATAACTGTGAAATTTGCCTCCTTTCAAAGTTCACCCGTTTCCCCTTCCATAGTGTGGCTGGCAGGAGCAAAAAGCCGTTGGAGCTGGTCCACATGGACTTGGTGGGGCCGCTGCCGGTGCAAGGGCACAAGGGGGAGCGGTACTTCCTAACCATAGTGGATGACTGGAGCAGGCTAATGTGGGCGTATCCGCTGAAGCAGAAAGATCACGCCGCCTCCACGATTCGGGACGATTGGCTGCCGTTCGTGGAGAAGCAAGCGGAGTGTGTCGTGAAGCGGATTAGGACAGATCGGGGTGGTGAGTTCCTTGGAGCTGAGATGACGGCCTGGCTCAAGAAGCAGGGCATCCAGAGGGAGCTGACCACGGCTTACACCCCACAGTCCAACGGTGTAGCAGAACGGGCGAACCGGACAATTCTGGAGACAGCTAGGGCGCTGCTCATAGAATCTGGGCTGGGCAACTTGATGTGGCCCCATGCTGTTCGGCACGCTACCGTCGCTAGGAACAGGGTACTCACAAAGGTTGGGGATGACTCGTGGGTGCCGTTGGAGAGGTGGCTTGGGAGGAAGCCGCCGGTGGACATGCTGAGGGTGTTCGGTTGCATGGCAGTCGCCCACGTCCCCAAGACCTACCGCAGTAAGTTGGGGGCGAGTGCAATCTGGTGTGTCCATTTGGGGCTGGCTGCTGAGAGCAAGGGATGGCTGCTGTGGGAACCTTCCAAGGGTGTGTTGTTTGACAGCAGGGATGTGAAGTTTGTTGAGGGCATGATGTATGGGAGCTGGGAGAAACAGCCGGAGGCCAGGGTGTCCCAGCAGATGGAGCAGATCACCATGCAGCTGGACCTGACTCCTAGTGTGTGGGAGGAGGGAGAGGAGGCAGCTGCAAAAGGTGGTGCTGGAGAGAAGGTGCAGGAGGCACCTGCCGGTGAAAACAATGGTGTGGAGACTAGCGGTAGCACTAGTGGAGCTGCTGGATCCGAGGGAGGAGAGCAGCAACAGGGGAAAACTAAGAAGCCGAAGGGTGTTGTTATGAAGGGATGGGAGACACCCGTCTCCAGGCCAGGACGTACCCGTATGGCTACTAAGAAGCTGACTGCAGGAGCTGATGTAGCGGAGCAGCAGCTTGGGACCGAGGAGGCATTGCTGATTCTACCGCATGGCTATGACCCGGATGAGGAGGATCAGCCTGCGTACTGTTTTCTTGCCCCTGCACCAGAGGAACCAGCTAGCATGGAGGAGGCATTAGCTGGACCAGATAGGGACAAATGGCTAGCTTCCAGGGATGCTGAGTACCAGAGCCTGCTGGAGAATGGGACTTGGGAACTAGTGGTGCTGCCTGAGGGAAAGAAAGCGGTACAATGCAAGTGGGTGCTAAGGATCAAGACTGACGACAAGGGGCAGGTCACCATCTACAAGAGTAGGTTGGTGGCTAAGGGGTTTATGCAGAAGGAGAAGCGGGACTTCAATGAGATCTTTGCTCCCACTGCCAAACCCCCTACCCTTCGTGTCTTGTTGGCAGATGCAGCCGTTGGTGGGAAGTTCATTATCCAGATGGATATATCAACGGCATTCCTCAATGGGATTTTAGAGGAGGAGGTGTTCATGACGCAGCCGCCTGGGTATGAGGATGGTACGGGCAGGGTGTGCAAGCTGAAAAAGTCCATCTACGGCTTGAAGCAGGCGCCACGCTGCTGGTACCAGAAGTTGGCAGCTGTTTTAGAGGAGATGGGATTCAGGACCAGCAGCTGTGATGAGAGCCTCTTTCTCAAGGGGGAGGGGGAGAAGCTGGTGCTGTTTCTGGTCTATGTGGACGACATTCTTCTCTTTAGCAGCAGCATGAAGGAGATCCAGAAGGTGCAGCAGCAGCTGATGGAGAACTTCAAGTGCAAGAACCTTGGGGAGGTAAAGTACTACCTCGGGATGCACGTGGAGAGGGATCTGGATCACAGGTGGTTGAAGCTGCACCAGGAGAAGTTCATCAAGGAGCTTGGGGAGAAGTACGGAATTGAGAATGAGCGCAAGGTTGCAACTCCCCTGCCAGCAGAATTCAAGCTTGTGAAAGCTGCAGAGGATGAAGGGGTTGAAGCCGAGGAGCAGCAGCAATTTCAGTCCTTGGTGGGCAGCCTCTTGTATGCAGCAGTTCACACGAGACCCGACATCTCTTTCTCAGTTGGGCAGCTGGCTAGGGTAGTGCAGAATCCATCAGAGGAGCAGGTGGATGCAGCTGAGCGTGTGGTGAAGTATCTGAACTCTCACCCAAGCATTGGAGTTCAATACTCCGCATCTGCACAGGTGAAGCAGAAAGGGGTTGAGGTGCTGAAAGAGAAGGGGGAGAGGCTTGGAGAAGGCAAGCTTTTTCTCACTTGCTTTACTGATGCTACGTGGGCCTCTGAGAAGGAGGATTCCTCATCTGTGGGAGGATACATCTGCGTAGTTGGGGGAGGACCGGTTAGTTGGAGGTCAAAGAAGCAGACGGAGACAGCACTCTCTTCCGTGGAATCAGAGTACATGGCCATGTTCCATGGGGTGAAGGAGGTGATTTGGCTGAGGAGGCTGTTGGAGGAGATTGGCCAGGAGCAAAAGGTTGCTACGCCGCTGTTTTGTGATAGCAAGGGAGCTCTTGGGATGGCCAGGAACGCTGTGCTTCATGGGCTGAATAAGCACATGCGTATCAAGTGGCACTGGCTGCGTAAGGAGGTGAAGAGGGGGACGGTGAATCCGATCTACATCAAGACTCACCAGCAGCCAGCAGACTTCCTCACCAAGAGGCTTGCGGATGAGCCTCATTGGCGTTGTGTACGCATGAGTGGAATGAGCATGAACTAGTATGGAATGATGGGGATGCAGCCGGCAGGCTGAGGGGGAGTGTGTTGGGTGCAAATTCACATTGCACGACATCCTGCCGTCTGTTTGTACGAGTATGCGTGTGCGAATGCATTTGCGTGTGAATGGTATGTTTGTGTGTTTGTTTGCTTTCGCAATTTTCGCTTGAAGCATTTGCAGGTACTCGCACAATGTGCGCTTCGGTATAACATTGTATGCGCTATGAACAGTACAAGCAGAAAGGACGAGCTCGCAAAGGAACCCAAGATGGAAGCTTTGCGGTTCAACTTACTTGATTGCGCAGATTCAGTTCTATCCAACTCGAAATTGTACTGTTTTGTTTGGTTGACTATAGTGTAGCAGGGCAGGCACTATAGGGGTACAATTTAGGTGAAGGTTGGATGTTGTTTGTCTGTATCTGCATGCTACAGGGCCAGGGGAAACCAGCGGAACCAGCATTTGGCTGGTTGGGGAAAGACAAAACAGGTTCTGTTTTTAGGACCTGAACCTGGTTGTTGTTTCCCCAGGTTGGAAAAACAGAACCAGAGGTTGTTCACCAACCTATCACCTGCTATTTTGTCCAGCCAGGTTGGTTCTGTTGCTTGGAATTATTTGGGATCATCCCTGGTTGTTCTCAGGTTCATTCCCAAGGTCCTTGCTAGCTAGAACTATTTATTCCTTCTCTGTTTGTACCTGAACATAGTAAAATTGATTCAAGCGAATTCCTTCCTTGCTGGAATTTCTTTTCTACGCGGTGCGACGGCGGAATGCTACCCGAGTCAACGCTAGTACGCTAGCACTCCAACGCTAGGCTAACGCTGCCCGAGCCATAACTTCGTAATGGCAGAACTTTTCGCGAGGCAACCTGGCTTATTTTAAAGCTCTTAGAGTGAGCTTCGATATAGGAAATTCTCAGCTTAATCCGATCGACGGTCTGCACGATACGCTGCGCGACGTTCAAGGTACTCTTGCTGTTTTGACTAAGTCCCTTTTGATCCCTCTCTCTACAAACTCGGACCCGAGGATAGGGGCTGGTCTTGTACCAGGCACCCAAGGACCCTTGGAGGTGACCCCGAGGAGAGGTTTTAAGTGTGATAAAGTCTTAATAGCTTGAGTTTATTAGGCCCTTACACCAACACTCCCACCACCACCCCCACTCCCTCCGCCTCCTCCACTCCACCTCCACCGCCCCCGCCAGCCCCTTCAGCGCCCTTGCCCCCCTTGCCCTTGCCGGTCCGGCGTCGCCCGCTAGGGGCAGACGCAGCGCCGACCGACTCGGTGCCAACGAAGTCGACGGCAGCAGCAGAGGCAACAGAGGGCAAAAGGCGGGAGGGGGAGCACCCCTCAAAGAGAGGGGCACGCGGGTCACCTCTAGAGGCTCCTACAACAACTATACTCTTCTCAGCTGCTAGGAGGCGCTCCTCGAGGAGGTCAATGGTGAGTGTGGTGGGGCAAACAGAGAGGAAGTGGTCCCTGACCGAGCGAAGGGAGTCAGGGAGCCGGGTGACTAGGTAGTAGAGGGTGATGTACATGGGGGGGGGGGGGGGGGGGGGGGGGGGGGGGGTTCTTGGCGCAGAACTCAGCAGGAAGCGCAGCGCGGTAGTGGGTGTCACTAGTGCGAAGGTGCCTAACGAGGTCAGCGACAGTGGGAAAGGCGGCGAGGTCGGGAAACAGGTATGGCAGTATGAGGCGGCTAAGAGCAGCAGTGGCAGGGGAAGAGTAGCGTGCAACTACGGCATCGTACAAGGTCTTAGCACTCTTGTACTAACTAAAGTGCGCACGCTCAGCGGTCGGTAAGTTGCGACGCATAGCAAGACGGGCACCAGCATCGCGCGTGGCCCACTGTGAGCAAACAGTGCTGTCAGCATCAGCAGGCGGGGCAGGAGAGGCACCAGAGGTGAGATCGAACAGGGAGAGTCCATCTGCCCTATCGCACTGTAGGAAAAGCTGCAGGTCATCGACCCAGACCTCGAAGTCAACAGCACGACCCTCGGCATCAAAGATAAGGACACTGGGGGTAGCCATGACAGCAGTGGTCTAGCAGGGAGGGCTCTCACCAGTCCAGGTGGGTAGGGCCGGGGCGCGCCGGGAGGAGCAGGGCTGGAACAGCGGTGGCAGCGGCTCAGCAGTGGCAGTGGCGGCTCGACGGCAGCTACTCGGCGGCTCGGCTGCTGGGCGGCTCAACGGCTTGGCGTCTCGGCTACTGGGCGGCTCGGCGGCTCGGTGGCTCGGCTGTTGGGGGGCTCGGCGGCTCGGTTGCTGGGCGGCTCGGCGGCTCGGGTGCAAGGCGGCTCGGCGGCTCGGGTGCTGGGCGGCTCGGCGGTGAAGGGGCCGTGAAGAGTGGCGACGGGGCCGGCAGAGGCGGCGACGGGGCCGTGAAAGGGCGGCGAAGGGGCCGCTAGGGGCGGCGACTGGGCCGCGAAGAGTGGCGACGGGGTTGCTAGGGGCGGCGACGGGGCCGCAGAGGGGCCGCAAGTGGCCTAGAGGGGCGGCGACGGGGCCTAGAGGGGCGGCGATGAGGCCGCGAAGGGGCCGTAAGGGGCCTAGAGGGGCGGCGGCGGGGCCGCTAGGGGCGGCGACGGGGCCGCGAAGGGGCCGCGAGGGGCCTAGAGTGGCGGCGACATGGCCTAGAGCGGCGGCGACGCGGCCGCGAAGGGGTTGTGAGGGGCCTAGAGGGGCGGCGACGGGGCCTAGAGGGGCGGCGACGGGGCCGCGAAGGGGCCGTGAGGGGCCTAGAGGGGTGGCGACGGGGTCGCAAAGGACGGCTATGGGGCCACTAAGGGTGGCGCGAGGTGCCGTGAGAGGGGCCGCCAAGGGAGCGCGACGTGAGGGGGCCTACGGGGCGCGCCTCAGTTAGGCAAAATCGAGTTCAGTAGTGGGCCCTGAGAAGCGTTCCCACGAGGGAACCTGCTCTATACCATGTGAAGAATGAGGAATGAATGAACTAGGAAAGAGGTGGGTACAAGTAGGAGAACCTAGAAATGTTGTACCCCATAAAGTCTACCCCACTACAGCCTACACATACTATAGCATATAAGTTTGACACGGAATGCGCCTAGCATGGAACTTCATAATCTGACCATCTACATTGCGCTTGTTGGACCGCCAGTAGATCCTCTTTACCAACGGTCCGTGCAAGTGCTTGAACATGTTGGTGCTGAATTCCGTGACATGACCCGCTCAGCGAATGGAGTCAATGTAGTGCGACATGAGATGGGTTTTCACAAGGCACCACGAGGATGGCTGCTTTGGAAAAGCAGCCTGCAATTGCTCAACCAGCCTGATGGGAGTGGGAGTTGACAACATATGCAAGGACATCAGAGTCTACTACAGCATACTGCAGCCTACTTTATTTGATATACTATCATGGTTTATCAGCAACATCCTGTGAAGATAGGTTACTGCAACAGCTTAGGTGCCGTGGCTAGGCATTCATGCAATGCCCATGGTTGTATATGCATGTTAATAGTACCGGGAGGTCTTCTTCTTGAGATCCCGCAGGGACCGCTCGGTGTGCCCCGTTGGCTAGCAACACAAGAGGTACCAGCCAAGATAGGCACGAACAGCATCCATCTGGGGCTGGCGAAGCAGGCCAGCAAAGACAAACACCATGACCTGCAAATTTCAGGGTTTATCACAGCAGGGGGGCATGAGTAGTTGGGACATGCGTGAGAAGATGAGCAAACAGTATTTGAGGCGGAATTAATGAAAGCAGGAGAGAGGTACCTGAGATGCAGCAGGGGGTGTGTTGTAGTCTGGAATCGGCATGCCACTTCTGCATGGTGCATGCTATCACACAAGATGATCACATGCACCATGGCTTGCACACCTGCATGACGGCCCTGTGCTCATAGGCCGCGACACATGCTCGAGTCTCGAAGTAGGCGCTCTCTGGCAGGCGCAGGTAGTTCAGACGCGTGCGGTCGTGAATGAGCGACAGGCGCCTACGCATACACAACAGTTCAAGGGCAGGCACAAATACTACATGTAAGTAGGAGGAGGAGAGTGCAGATTGGAGTGTTGTTGACAACGAGCAACAAATCTAATCCCCCAAGGCACTGACCTGTCCATCTGCTTCACGCGTTGCTTCTTCATCTTGCGCACGACAGCCACAATGTGGCTCATCATGCCCAGGTCCGCCTGGTGCATGATGTCAGGCATGATAACGAGGTAGGGATTGCCCCACACAGTCCCTGGGACATCCCACTTCCAGAGCACACACTGGAAAAGGGGATGTGGTGGGGAATGGTAGAGAAAGGTATTTGAGAGACTCGGCACACAACATGTGGGACAGTGCAATGGGGTATAGCACATCTCCCCAAGGTCTGAGCAACACGGAGTGCGTAGACTATACAGTCGCCCGGGGAACAGGTCGCTCACCTCAACCGGGTAGGTCGAGTAGGTCTTGCATGGGTCGTCCTGGCTTGATGTCAACCCTGCCGCCTCATTCACGATCCATCGCTGCTGTTCAGGCGTGCGCGGCTTGTTCCGTGCCTTTACAGCAACCAGAGGCTCATGGTGTAGCACAGAGGGTGGGATTATGAGGTCCGTCATGTGACATTCGGATGGCAATGGTTCTGAAGGCACGCAGATCGCATCTCCATTTCCTCCAGCACAAGCACCTCCAGGGCCAACAGTTCCAGCACCTCCAGTAGCAGCATCACCACCAGCTCCAGCAGCTCCAGTGCCTCTAATACGAGCATCTTTGGGACCAACAACTCCAGCACCTCCAGCAGCAGCACCACCACCAGCCCCTGCAGCTCCAGAACCTCCACTGCCTCCAGCACCTCCAGCACCAGCACCCTAAGGACCAGCAGTACCACCAGCTCTGGCCGCTCCAGCACCTCCAGCACGAGCACCCTAGGGACCAGCAATGCCAGCACCACCAGCCCCTCCAGCACCAGCAGCACCAGTGCCTCGAGTGCCAGCGCCTCCAGCGTAAGGGCCTTCAGCTCCAGCAGCGTGACTCCAAAGGCGAGTGCCACTTGCGCAGCTGCTGTGGTGAAAGAGGCTCTCGCCGGATAGACCGCTGGGGCCAGGCACCAGTAGGACCTCCTGGACTAGAGGCTCCAGCACCCCCAGTACCTCTTGTACCAGCAGTACCTCCAGCACCTCCAGGGGAGCAGCTCTAGGGCCTCCAGCTCCAACAGTGCCACTCCAAAGGTGTGTGCGCCGAGTGTACCACTCGAACAGCTACTGTGGTGAGAGAGGCTCCCGTAGTGTAGACGCAGTACCCCTAGGCTTAGTACCTTCAGACTCAGCACCCCAAGGCTCTGCACGCTCAGGCTTAGCACCCCCAGGCTCCGCACGCTCAGACGCAACACCCTCAGGCTCCGCACGCTCAGGCTCAGCACCCCCAGGCTCCCTACACTTAGACGCAGCACCCCCGTGCTCCGCACTCGTAGGCTTAGCACCTCCAGGCTCCACACGCTCAAGCTCCGCAACCACAGACTCAACACCCCCAGACGCAGCACCTTGAGAAGCAACAGAGTCACCATTGACCTTGACAGGCTCAACCAAGGGGAGTGGGTCTACATGAGACACACCAAAAGGACCAGGACCCTAAAGGGGGAGGGGGTCTACCGGAGGGGGACCTGAAGCGAGGAAGAGCAGCGGGGGGGTGGGGGGGAGGGGCAGTGCGGTAGGGGAAGAGATGGTAAAAGGAAACCGACTCGTCGAATGTGACGTCCTGAGAGGGTAGGGCTCGGCTCGAGGTGGGGTGGTAAAACTGCCAACCATGCGCATCAGGGGGAAAGCCAAGGAAGACACAGGGAATGGCGAGCGATGAGAGCTTGTCCGCAGAGGTATCGCACACAAAGGCACGACAGCCCCAGACCCGGAACACAAACACATCGCCAACCTCTCCCATCCAACACAGTGTAGTCTCCGGCAAGGAGACACGGGGCCACAGGTTGAGTTGATTTACAGTGTACCGGACCGCAAACGGCCACAGAAAATTGGGAGCAGCTGCATGGATCATGGAGGTACGAGCGACCTCCATGACTAAGCCAATGCGGCGCTCAGCAACCCCATTCCGCTGCGGAGAGGCCAAAAGCGTGAACGACCGGAGGATGCACTCCCCATGACAAAAGTCCCGCAAGAGGTCGGAGGAAGACTCACCACCTCTGTCACAGTGCAGACGCAGGACAAGAAGGTCCGTGTCAAACCACTCACGGAGTTGGAAAAATATAGCGTAGATCCAAGGGATCGAAACATCAGGGACCTCTATCACAACTTATATTTGTAACTGCCTGTAGCTGTAGTTAGTGTAGTTATAATAAACTTAGTTTGGTGGTGCACCTTCTTTGTTTCCTATGCTATATGTTCCTTGAAACCTATAGTGAAATCATTCTTCTCAACTTACTCGATACTCACCCTTGGCACGAAACACTCGATCTCGTTGGCCTACGCTACTAAGCCTAGGCCGTCCTACACTTTCAGCATCCTACCAAGCTAGTAACTTTCAGAGCAGGTCGATCCCCTCGGATCGATCCTGTGGGTGGGCTTACCACCTCCCTGCTTCCGCTGCAACTACTACCACTACACTCGGTGCCGCACGCCCCATGGCGTGTGGCAGTTTTCTTCCCGCCGTACGCCCCGAGGCGCGCGGCAGTTTTCTTCCCGCCGTGCGCCCCGAGGCGCGCGGCGGTTTTCTGCCCGCCGTGCGCCCCGAGGCGCGCGGCGGTTCTCTGCCCGCTGTGCGCCCCGAGGCGCGCGGCGGGCTTCGGCCCCGTCAACCGGCGCGTCGCCCTTGGGAGGCGCCGCGACGGGCGACGGGGACCCGTTCGTCGCCCCCCGTCGCCCGTCGTGGCCTGCACGCGGCCCGTACAGGCAGCGCGCGGCCCGTACGGGCTGCGCCAGGCCCGCGCGCGACCCGTACGGGCTGCGCCAGGCCCGCGCACCACCCGTACGGGCTGCGCCAGGCCCGCGCGCGACCCGTACGTGCGGCGCCAGGCCCGCGCGCGGCTCGGGGGATGTGTTCTGTTCCCTGCCTCTCCTCCTCCTCCTCCGTCTCCCTGTGCTGC